GTTCTCCACTACAGGTTATTTCTGGCACATCTCAGGCCTCCACTGGGATCCTTCTTATGATGTAGGGAGTAACTCTGCATCAAAATGTGCTTCTAGTGGAGGCCGTCCGACCCCAAACGCAGGCAGATTTGGAGATTATTCCTGTGACTCCCCATGGACTCTGATAAACTCAACACTGAGTGCCATGAGAGGGATCCTGCCTGACCCGGACTTCATCATCTGGACCGGGTTTATGCCAAGCGCCCTCTTAACTCATAAGACTGTCCTAGTTTGAAGTTTAAAGTGTATTCAGTAGAGTGCTGTAGTGTTGATGGATTTGTGTTGGCCAACCCTGGTTCACCTGATGAAAAACCTCACAGGATTTTTCCATTGGCTTTTGGATTACTGTGCTCTGAGACCAACAAAAGGTTATGGTTCTTACACGTTCGTTCATATTGATAATCTTTCAAAGAATTTTGAAATCGAAATACAATTTGCAGAAATAAAAGCCAATCGTTTTGAATGAACTACACCACGGTCACATGACTTCAACATCATCACCATTAAGCGTCAACAAATCTGTCAGTCTTTATTTAAAAACCTTTTTTTGAGTAGTTGATTATAAACATTATAAACAAATAGTGACTAGTGATTAGACGACTTTATCAGTTTGACATGGTGATGTTTAATGTCCCGACAACCTCTGTTGTCCCATTTAGACACTTGTTAGCAACCGCCTTTATCCAGACACGTAAAAAAGCACAAGGGGTACTACTGATTCATTTTATGTTGTAGAATAAAATGTGAAAATATCTTGAGCTTGTATTCAGACCTTATGTTAGGCTCTTAACCAAAAACCCATAAAAAAAAAAACTTGACTTCAGGGCGATGGAACCAGAAGAGCACAATAGATTTTCAACTACACTGCCAGTCAGAAAAGGATTTATGATTTCATAATCTTAAAAACATCTAAAGGCGTTTACTTAAATGCTCTAGTTTTGTAAGCAAATATAAAATGTGCATTCACATAAAATGAATAGTGAGAGAAAATTAGCCAACAAGTGTCCAATATAGTATAAGTCGTGCTTCCAATCATAAAGATAATCATAAAGAATGAGTTGGCGTGTCAAGCATTTGGCCTGTACTAGGGCTGTGCGATATATTGAAGAAAAATGCGATATGCGGTAACTCATTAAATAATGCGATATTCAATATGCGATACGATAATGCTTAAAGTGCCACATGCTCAGATGAAACAGTTTTACTCAGCTGTTGCCGAGTCAGTTCTGTGAACTTCTATAACTATCTTGTGTCATATATATATGGTTATTTGTATGCATGTATGTACCAAGAGTTCCTGTAAAACCACAAGAAATTCCTTGTGTTTGCGCACACTTAAGTGGTGAATAAAGCTGATTCTGATTCTGATTCTAATAAGAAAGCACCCCTACAACATCTTCTGAAAGTGAACGGTATGTTTTATATTTAGGTAAGAGCAGTGAGTGATTTTCTCTTTGTCTTTTGTTCATGGCCCCAAATATTGCAAGCTGTAGCGATATGCATATTGCGATATGTACATTTGCGATATATTGCACAGCCCTAGCCTGTACTGTAGGTAGGTGAGCTGTCTGACTAAAGTCATATATTTCTTACACAATTGATTATATAATTCTAACTCTTTTTCACAGAGATATTACGCCTCATGTGCCCGATGAGCAGCTGGGAGTCGAACCTGTCCTGTGAATAATCGGCAATCTCACCCACATCATAAAAACGACTTTTCCTAGTATGTGTTTCATATGGGCTGCTGACTGCTTGTTTGTTTTGTTCGTCTATTAAATTAATTTCACATTTGTATTTCTTTAGATACCAAGGTGTATTCTGCAATGGGAAATCATGACTACCATCCAAAGAACCAAATGCCTCCAGAAAAAAACAACATTTATGAACAAACCGCAAACCTGTGGCATGGCTGGCTACATGCGGCATCAAAAGAAACCTTTAAAATAGGTATAAACTAAAGCAGCTCACCATTAACAATACACTGACACAAAGACAATAAGAAAAATATTACAGATTTGACTATATTATAAAATACATGAATTATGTAATATAGCTTTAACTAATGTCATATAACTTTCATTAATGTCTTTCACAGGTGGATATTACACAGAGAAGTTGCTGTATCAAACTGGCTTCAGAGTCGTGGTCCTAAATACGAACCTCTATTACGATCAGAACAAACTCACAGAAAATATCAAAGACCCTGCAGATCAGTTCAGTTGGGCTGATAAAGTGCTTCAGGACTATACAATAATGAGAAGGTTAGTCGTATCTTACAGCGAGGAAGCGAAACCTTCAGTTTTGGCAGTTTATCCATGTGTCATTATTGCACATAAAGAGCCTTTGTTCTGTCTTACCCAGGTTTACATTATTGGCCACGTCCCTCCAGGGTTTTTTGAGAAGAAACGAGATAAAGCCTGGTTCAGAAAAGAGTTTAATAAGCGCTATATAGATCTCATACAGAAGTACAGCGCTGTTATACAGGGCCAGTTCTTCGGTCATCATCACACTGACAGCTTCCGCATGTTCTACAGCTCTAAAGGTATTTTCAATTCTGCTACTAATTCTGTCACATGTTGTGCTTCTTTTGGCATTAGAATTACCTTTCAAATTAGAAAACCTATTTATTAGAAGGGTTATTGTAGTCAACTGATTTTATTTTAGCTAGTTGTCAAGGCAACATTGAAACTTTTCATTTAGTAACTTGATGTGTTAAACTAAAACTGAAAAGAAAAAAAAAATACAGACATATTAAATACTACTATTAAATGCTATAGAATCAGAGACACTATATATACTCACCAGTACCAGTAGCCAGTACGCTAGTATACATATTACTACCTAAAAGGCACAAATTGTACCTTTCGAAAAGGTACTGCCCCAGTGATAGCTTTTGTACCTTTTCAAATGGTACACCTTATTTATCCCTAAAACGTGCATATTAGCATTTCAATGGTACATTTTAGTAACTCAATGGAACCTCAATGCACCTTCTTTTATTACCGCTTAGAACTGTTGCAAGAACAAGCTACAAACGCTCCACACACAACTTTTAATAGCCGGATCTTCATTCTGTTTACGGACGTGACGTAACCACGCAAAGAAGAATGACATACGTCAATTTCTAATGAAATCAGACCCGACACCTCAAATTTTTAATTATTCTAAGCTTACTGTTGCAAATTAAGGTTTAAAAGGTTACATACTGCTATAATAGCCCTGGTTTACACGTTTCTATTCTTGCTGCTTTGTGTTCCTGAAGGATATAATCACCTACTATATGAACCTGACATACTCAAATGTGGTACATGAGCGCTGGGAGAAGGCGTACCGGCTGACGGAGGCGTTTCGTGTGCCCGACGCCTCTCCCACCTCTATGCACCGCGTGATGGAGCGGATATCCAGCGACAAGTGTTACCTGCAGAAGTACTACGAGTTCAACTCTGTGAATTATGACCTGACGGAGTGCCACGCTGACTGCCGCGTCGATCACGTGTGCGCGATGAGGGAAGTGGACTTTGAGGCCTATGAGAAGTGCGTGGTGAAGGAGGGAGGATCATTCAATGCTCCAGTGCTGTTTACTCTGCTGCTGTCACTGATGCTGAGCCTGCTGTGTTTGAACTGATCACAGAACAGCAGCGTTTTTGCAATATTGTCACGTGATCCCTTCAGACACACTCAGCATGAGTGTGAATGACATGTTGTCAGCAGTATTTCAAGTATTTAACGTGCTGTTCATAAACTTGATTTTGATGATTTCTTTATATTTACTGAACTGTCTCTTAGTTCAGCCCAAAATGAAAATGCTTTTTGTGGGTCCAAAACATTAAAAAAAAACAAAAAAAACATAATTTGTGTTCCACAGAAATTTGGAGTGACGTGAAGGTAAATAAAAATTGCAGTTGTCTTTTCTTCTTTACTGAGACATACTGTAGATCTGAGTGAAATGGCTTCTCTGCAACAACACTGCAGAATTCTGACTCTCTTTATTTTAAGATAAAAAGTTGCATGTAATGTTTTTTTAACCCCACGTCGGAAATAAGTTTACATTGATTTGTCTCTGTTCGTATACAAGATTTTTTTTTTATTTTGCGTGAAAGACTGTCAAAAGTGGTTTGATAATGATAATGATAAATTATGCATAATGATGAATTATGCACTCATGCAATTTATATTTAAATCACATCTTTGAAGATCAGCGCACTCTAAAGACAGCAGCATATTTATATCAAAGTACACCATATTAGAAGAACATCATGACTATATAAATCTTCCACTATAATTATACAGTTCAGATATCAAGGTTGATCCAGCGCAGCAGACAGTCAAAGTCATGTCACTCGGCGGCCATCTTTGAAACGCCTCTTGGGCATGCAAGTGCAGCTCCTATCTCTTTGAATGGGGAAACATCAAATTCTCCAAAACTGTTCACTAAGCTTACGATTAAATTTCAATTTTCGAAATCACCAATGAAATCTGACAACAACTGTATCATAAATGTTGTTTTGTTTGCTCAAATAGCGTTATAAAAAGCTTATTTTTCAGGCTAGATCAGCCAGTGTGCATGCGCAGTCCTAACCGCACGTCTCAGAAAGCTGACTGTTTCTATAGCAACCGGGACTTCTAACGACAGCTGCAGTGACGCGCTGACTTTACCGATTAGCGATTGGCTCTTTTGCTCAGAAGGCAGGGCTTCGTTCGATAGAGCAGTTGCATTTTTCCCCATTCAAAACTGAGTGACACGTCTTGGGTATTCTATAATCTTTGAGACAGTCAAGCTCACCACTGGAACAGTGACTGGTTGTTTGGCCATCCCACCGTAGGTCACCATGCTGCCTCCACTTCTGAGGAACACAGACACCTTATTCGTTCATTTACAGACCTCATACACAGTGCTTATCAAGGGCCCTAACCGATCAAATCAAGGTTTGTAATGTTGTTCCGCTGGCTGGTTTGGTTCATGCTTCAGACCAGCGGTTGATGCGAAGAAACTCTTCCAACTATGGATGCAACGATAACCAGTTTTCACGATAAACCAAGGTAAAATTTTACTGTTTCACATTTTAATTAGCATTAAAGGGGTCATATGATGCGATTTCAAGTTTTCCTTTCTCTTTGAAGTGTTACAAGCTCTTGGTGCATAAAGAAGATCTGTAAAGTTGCAAAGACTAAAGTCTCAAATCCAAAGAGATATTCTTTATAAAAGTTAAGAGTCAACCACACCTACCTAAAACGGCTCGTTCTAACACGCCCCCACATGTCTACCTCACTATGTGGAAATATTAGCATAATGCTGCCCAAATGTGCACGCAAAGACAGAAGGCGTGGTTTCAGGAACAGCAGTCGTGTTGATGCAGCATGTCAGGGAGACGCTGTGTTTCAGTGCGAAAGCAAAAGCACTTTATTTGGCCTTCCAGAAGTAGATGCAAGTCATGTCACTCGGCGGCCATCTTTGAAACGCCTCTCGGGGCATGCGAGTGCAGCTCCTATCTCTTTGAATGGGGAAACATCAAATTCTCCAAAACTGTTCACTAAGCTTACGATTAAATTTCAATTTTCGAAATCACCAATGAAATCTGACAACAACTGTATCATAAATGTTGTTTTGTTTGCTCATATAGCGTTATAAAAAGCTTATTTTTCAGGCTAGATCAGCCAGTGCGCATGCGCAGTCCTAACCGCACGTCTCAGAAAGCTGACTGTTTCTATAGCAACCGGGACTTCTAACGACAGCTGCAGTGACGCGCTGACTTTACCGATTAGCGATTGGCTCTTTTGCTCAGAAGGCGGGGCTTCGTTCGATAGAGCAGTTGCATTTTTCCCCATTCAAAACTGAGTGACACGTCTTGGGTATTCTATAATCTTTGAGACCGTCAAGCTCACCACTGGAACAGTGACTGGTTGTTTGGCCATCCCACCGTAGGTCACCATGCTGCCTCCACTTCTGAGGAACACAGACACCTTATTCGTTCATTTACAGACCTCATACACAGTGCTTATCAAGGGCCCTAACCGATCAAATCAAGGTTTGTAATGTTGTTCCGCTGGCTGGTTTGGTTCATGCTTCAGACCAGCGGTTGATGCGAAGAAACTCTTCCAACTATGGATGCAACGATAACCAGTTTTCACGATAAACCAAGGTAAAATTTTACTGTTTCACATTTTAATTAGCATTAAAGGGGTCATATGATGCGATTTCAAGTTTTCCTTTCTCTTTGAAGTGTTACAAGCTCTTGGTGCATAAAGAAGATCTGTAAAGTTGCAAAGACTAAAGTCTCAAATCCAAAGAGATATTCTTTATAAAAGTTAAGAGTCAACCACACCTACCTAAAACGGCTCGTTCTAACACGCCCCCACATGTCTACCTCACTATGTGGAAATATTAGCATAATGCTGCCCAAATGTGCACGCAAAGACAGAAGGCGTGGTTTCAGGAACAGCAGTCGTGTTGATGCAGCATGTCAGGGAGACGCTGTGTTTCAGTGCGAAAGCAAAAGCACTTTATTTGGCCTTCCAGAAGTAGATGCAATTAGGAATCATTGGTTAAGATTTATTTACAACAGAACAGCACAACCCAGATGTTCGAATTTGTGCAACGCATTTAATGGACGACAGTTTTTTTAAC